TTTATGTGCCACAGCCTTAAGACCGCTAAATCAATGAGCATTCATCATAAAGTCGTCATATTAATTTACATAAGATGCTCATTGATCTAGATGCATGGTCTTATGCTATTCATATGCAGATATGCCTTTTTGTGTGTGATAATTTATTGCTTCAGCATAATATTTTACTTTGCATACCTTTTTTTCACACGATTATCCGTAATACTAAATCTTGTTTTTTGTAATAATTACGACATTTCTAGAAAAAAAATTTAATATAGACAGAGGAATTCTGTACATTTTTTTTTAATATATCGATATATGAAAGTTTGTTACATGTGATTGTATTTCAATTTAACTCACATTACTCTTCTTTCCTTCTAGCTAATATTCTAATTTTTTTCCGTATTACCTTTATTTATACAATTTTTAAACATATATTTATATTAACGTGTTTGCATCACAAGTGTATTATTTTGATTTTAATTTATTTAAAATATAACGTATATGTTAAAAATCTTGAAAAGTGTATAATTCTTTAAAGTATAAAGTAATCTAAATTTATATATATATAATTTATCTCTTTCTCAAGGTAATTGTAAAGTACAAATTCAAGTATTTCAAGTATTGTCCGTAATTATATTAATTTAGAACTCTCAATATAAATTCCAATAATTTTGTGAGAACTAATTATATGATTTTTTTTTGCAGGATTGATGATATTTAAGATAATTATACATTTTACGAAGAGGCATGATTCCTGTTGCCCATTCAGTTTATGGACCTTTAGTGGACATTAACATATTCCAAGAACATAAACAAGGTCAAACAAGGTCAATCGAACACAGAAGCAACATTACGTATTGAACGCATAAAGCAAGTGATGGAACAAAAGAACAGCAACTAGCATATATTAAACAAAAGCATGAAGAAAATATGAGTAGTATAAAAGAAAATCATTTAAAAGAAATTTACAGTTTAGAATTGCAACATTAAAAAAAAATTCAAAGTTTGAAAATAGAAATAAATACATTGGCGGTATATCACCGTTTCGCGAAAAAATTGTATTCTCGAAATAAGAGGACTATATACTTTGCAAGCCCTCTTAACACATATTCTTAATGGATGAGAATATATTCTTCTTTTTAGAATATATCCTTTGAAGCTAAGAATTATCTTTTGTTTTAACGAATCTCAGTGGCGCGATCGATCTTATCACGTTCACATAATGGAAGAGAAAGTTATAAAGTGGCTCGAAGAAGAGGACCTGGCTGACCTCACGCAGATGTTTATAAGTAAGTTTCTGCGATATATTTATGCATGAATGAAGTATTAACTGAACCTATAATAGTCCCAGACTAGTAGTCCAACTAACAGCAATATACACGCGACAATGTGATTGAGGTTTCCATATTCGCGGTTTCCAGTTTTTGAGAAGGGTCGGTATCGTGTTTAGCTCTGAGCGTATCGTGTCCGTCCGCGTGGAAGAATCTCGTCGTCGTCGTCGTGCAGACGCGAGGAGACCACGAGCGAGCGTGCCGTACGGCCGATATACGGTCACCGAGGAAGCAACGTGCGAACGCCGTGTCCTGGACGTGTCTCTCTCGTCCCCGTCAGCAAAGTCTCGCCGTCGCCGTCGTCCGCGAGTCGTCGCCCGCGCCGACGGAAGTCTGAGCAGTCGGTGCCGCTGCCCCGTGTTCGCGGACATTCCTCGGGATATCCGCGAGTTCCGCGACTATCGACATCGCCGTCACTCTCGCCAGAAATCGACGACTCTTCTGCTGAATATTGTTGCAGATCAATGACTACAATTTAAATTTTCTAATTTCTTAGCCTAATATTTCATATTGTCGTACGATAAGCTTGTCAGGTGTTCCAATTCGCAAGATATCAGACAGACAGTGCTTCTTCCAAAGGAAGACAGTCTTCCTTTGCGTATGTGTTACAAACAGAGAGAAGCTAAGCTGCAAAATCGATGTTTAATATGCGTATTTATGTAATTTATAAATCAAGAAAATGCTCCATAGTTATATGGATTTATTCTTGATAAATTTTTGATGTAGCACGTGTCAAATAACGATTTTACAACTTTTTAATTATATCGAAAAGTGGCTGTAAAGGCCGGTATTCATAGTCGGTTCTTATATTTAAGACCGTCTCAAGTACAATCTTAAGATGTCACTAACCAATCACAGAGCCGTATTAGCATCTTAAGATGTTACTTAAGACGGTCTTGAAATAAGATCCGACTATGAATACCGGCCTAAGAATCAGTAGACTGCCAATCTGTCGCTTTAAAGCTTCTCTCTGATTCGCAGAATATTATACTTTCTTCTTTATTAGTCATTGCACAAATATAAAGTACGTTGTATGTTTCAATTCAAGTGGTTCCTTTTATGTCTTTCATTTTTCTTAGGTCAAAAAATAAATAGCATGAAAAGGTTATTAGCATTAAATGAGGAATTAATAAAAGAATTAATTCCTCAAATAGGATTGCGAGCAGGTTTCCTTTCTAGTTGGAAAAATCTAGTAGCTGATGTATGTAATATTCAAGGAGAGGTATTTTTTACCAAGCATGCACTTTAATTAACTTTAATTTTAATTTTTTTTCTAAAAATTTAATAACACTTTAAATATTTATAAAATTAATATCTATATTGAATTACAATTAATGCTCTTAGTTTTTATTTATAGATTTCTAAGAAAACTGATACACAATTAACCACGGAAAACATACCAGTGCTTGATATATTGATACCTCAAGAAATATCTCAAGATATACCTCAAGAAATACAGGATCAAGCAATACCTAGATCAATATTACCTGAAGAGTCTACAGTGGTAAGATGGCATCTTCATCTTAAATCAAATAATTATTTCTATATGATCTTATATTCTTATATGGTATTTTATATAGTAACATTAATTTAAATGTATGACAAAACTGAAATATATTTATATATGTTTAGATATAGTTATATAGATCTATAATTATCTACATAATAAATTATATTTTTTTATATATAGACGCATATAATTATACATATATAAATCACTTGTGGATTGATATATTTCAGATTTTGTCTAACAATTAAAGTTTTTATATTGAAATAAAAAAAATGTTTATATGATAGAAATTTATTTTCACTTTTTTAGGACCTGTTTACTGAGCATAAAGATTCAGAAAGAATATCCCCATCTTTACCATCCGTTTCGAATTTTACTTCTGCAGTTCAAGGAAATAAAAGAAAACGAACTGAGGAGAGTTCTCAACCCCAGTGCAGCCGACATTTTCGATCTTTTAAAGCGTGTGAAGAATTGACAGTTTTGGTAAATCTCATTTTGTGGCTTAAATAATTGTTTACAATATGGTTACAAAATTATTCAGTTATATCTTATTATTAAATCAGTCGCATTATTAAATCAATAGCACTAATTTTCGTTAAAAATTGCACACAAATCCATGTGCACATTCACAAATAGCATATAAATAAACAAATGGTCATTTATTATACTTTGCATGAACAGAATAACGTTGCTCTCTTGGCTGTTACGCTGGAATTTCGATATTTATAATGGAAGTACATATGTATATACTGATAAGTGTCATAACTTAATTAACGTGCCTGCAATTTTAAAATTGTAATCTAAACAATACTGTAACTAAATTATATTATAGATAATACTTTACTCTGCTCCTATAATTAATTTTAAAATTGTCAGATCTTATAGGAGTGTTAAAATCTTTCTATTTCTTGTACTTTCTTATAGGATTTTGAAGAACTTCTTAAAAACTATTCCTTAAAAAGTGATGCTGCACTTCAAAACTTTGCAAAAAAGGGAATGCTTACA